AGTTTATATCATTTAAAGTAAGATTCCGTTTTTCGATTTATTGTAAAGTATAATTCGAATTATTGACTTGTTTAATACATACAGTATACGAATTTGTTTATATAAAGATGTTTTCGAATTTGTAATTCTGATCCAATCACTGTTTTCATGATGATCACATATAAAGATAAACAATATTCTTGACAGAGCATAAGAAAACAATTTAAAATAAAATGAGTTATTCTAATTGTGATAAACATGTTAAAAATTAATACCACAAGAATAATTTGTTTACATGCATGTCTTTGCCATTACTTTCGACTTGATTATTTAATTCAATATTTTTATATATATAAAGTTCCATGAAATTATTTTCATTGATATGAAATGTTATATTGCTATTATATTGATGCAGTTTAATTCTTCAATATAAAGAATTTGTAATCCACCATATATGTTTACAAATATACATTATCTTTTGTGTTTAAATCTGACTCTACTTAATTTGTCATAATATATTCAAATATAAAACAATTCATATTCTACACTTAATAAATATTATTTTACCCAGCAAATTGTCTTAAAAAAGGTATATTATTTTGTGGACAATAAAACTATGCAAATAAAAATAAATAAATAAATATTATTTAAACTATTTTTTTTAAAAAAAGCAAGATTGAAATCTAATATTAATTATAAGATAAAAAGTTCAATAAATCATAATTTAAAATCTAATATTATTATAAGATAAAAAGTTCATTAAATCATAATTTCTCAGTTCAGTTACCTATGGCAGTATCTAAAAAGTTAATGAAAAATATACATAAAACCAGAAAGGCAGACATAAATATTTATAGAGACTACGACTGATATGTTAGGAAAGGAACTCATGGACGACGAAGTATGATGCATTTATAAATTTGGAGTTGAGTTAAATAAAGGAGAGGAATTTTGTCCTTTTTGTATCCATTAATTTTGTTTAAATTTTACTTAGTAATGGCAATTGATGAAATTTTGTTTATAAAGAGATAATTTAATATTGTAAATTAGTTATACTAACATATCCACTATTGCATTAGTAACAGACGTTAATAGAAAATGGTGGTTAACTCAATATACTATAAATAGTATATTTCTGTATAAATAGTATTTTTTACTACAACAGGCAATCAATATACAAAATAGTTCTCTAAAGTAAAATAAAACATTTCTATTCTTCCTTGAATCGAGTTGGAATTTAACTCAGCTCAATGACCTGCCCTAGGGCTACCCATTATCTATAAAATGTACGTTTTTTATTAATATCTTTTTCATAATATATTTTAAACTTTTTGAATTATTTTCAATATTTTAAATTAGCATACATCATAATATAGCGATTAAAGTTCCTACGATTATTATACTTTTTTTTTAAATTCCATCTCGGATCATGAAAACCACACCTAAAATTCGCACATGGGAAAGTTGTTAAAACGAATTTATTTGTCTCAATATGATTCGTTTGCGGTGTGTAAATATTGAAATATTATTACAAAATGAGGAACTGAAAAAAATTGATGAATCATAACATAAAAACTCAACAAACGGAAATAAATTCAAAGATCCATATATCAGCATTCACGTAAAAACCATTGGTTAAATTCATAGTAATAAAAATATAATGCACCTTTTTTATGGGTTCTCTAAATTTAATATTTTTTATCCTCTGTATTGATTAAAGTACATCGAACAGACATTAGAAATTATTTCAGAAAGAATTTGTTTAGAATAAAATTTTAAAATGAATATATGATATATTTTTTTGAATAGACATAGAGACTTAAATTTAAATTTATTCTCACTCAATTTTATACAATTACTCATATTATATTATTACAAAAATTGTTTTAATTAATTTATGGCTATTTACAGTTACACCAGAAGTAACCAATAAGTTATTAGTCACAAGTTACATGTATATATATATATATATATATATATATATATATTTATATATATATATATATATATATATATATATACATACATATATGTTTGCATATATTCATTTAATTTTTCATGGACCATAATAATCTTGTTTAATAAATATTTGTTTGCTATAATAATTTTTTCGGTATGATTCATTGCCTCTGTTTGTTTCCATTTCTAATAATAATAAATCGGTATTTCATTGCTCATATATTTGTTATCAAATAGGTTTTATAATATCATTTAATAAAGTGTAATAAAAATTTATTTTTTAAGTCAAATCCCGGACGTCGGGGGAGGAGGGGTGTTAGTCGTTTATATAACAAATGCTATCAAGGATACAATAAAAAACAGCTTTTTTAAATGATTCTTTTTTATCATAATTGGGGACTATTAGTAAGAGCTTTATTCTTCGACTTACTTCGAATACTTCTTTATCTATGATATTATAATATATCTTATATTTTTTATCTATATGTTCTATTCAATTTTCTTCGTGATTAATTTGAAAACATTAGCATCTGTTAGTTTGTTTTCTTAATTTTTGTTAATTTAACTATTAATTTTCGAAAATACCGGGACATCCGGGGCAAAAAATCAAAATTCGAGACAAATATTGCTTAAAGAAAAACCCGGGACACAAGGTAGAAATCCGGGACGTATGGTCACCTTACATTTAATGAATAATAGAATAATATATTATTTAATACATAACTTAAATTTTTGTGATTTTAAATTATATTTATATTTGTTGGTCCAAAATAGCAAAAAATATTTGTAATTGATCCATTACAATTTACCACTAGATAGAATCTAATTTACTATTATATTCTATTAAGACTTCAGTGTGATTTTTGTTAGATTTAATTATATTTCTTTAAAAAGTTATAGAAACCAATTACACGCTTAATTTTTCAAAGATAAGCCATATTTGTGAAAAACTACTACTTGATTTTTCTACCTTGAAGTTTCTAAATTTTATTATTTAGAAAATTATATTAGTTTATATCTTTTATCCACGAAAAAAAAGAACATTTTTAAAAGAAAGAACAACTTTCAAATTTGGAATCACAAAATTATATATATATTTTACTCTCCGAAAAGTTTAGAAAATCACTTGGAGTAAAATTATTATATTTAATGGATTTTTTTTTTTGAAAAAATGAATGAATTTTTTTATATACTTTTGAATGAATGATTTGTGGGGCAATTTGAAAATTGTCCTTTACTTCTAGACTATATCAACATACAGTAGATATAACATTTTAATGTTTTTTTTTATTAAATATTGATTATAATAAAATTAGTCAGACTAAGTAAATAAAAATATATTGGTCTAGATCTCTATAGTTAAGCTCTATTATTTGTTGTAATTTAATTGCTGGATTTATCACATACTAGGTACAGTTTTATTTATGAAGAGTGAAATATAGACATAGATTTTTACAAATTGATGTATTTCCACAGACTTTCTGGCTTGAAAGTTTGTTAAGCTTAATAGATGCGAATCAAATTCTTATTAAATATCAAATTCTATTCAGACATCTATCATCTATTTGCATAGGTATGTTAAAAATGTTAAAATTTAGTAAAGTAATCCAAAATGCAACATGCATAAGTTTAAAAAAATAATGTACATGCAATTTTGGGCTTTTGCGTTTTTTATTACACTAAATTATATAATTTCATCTGCCAAACAAATACTGATGACTGTATCTTATGTTATTTTAATTTCTGGCACATTTCAGCTGCTTTTCGGCAATAATAATGCAGACATTACATTATTATATTCTAATTTTATCTAGGCTTATAATTTCAGATAAATTCAAATTTCAAGTAAATTGACATTTCTAGCAGACGAGGAAATTGATCCAGGATCAATTTGAGCATTATTGCTATTATATAAAGTTCATATTAAATTACAAGCACTCACTGTATACTCCTCCTAAACGATTGTTCGGATTTTGATACATCTTTCTGAAGTTTGTTAAGAAAATTTTCTAGGATGTATGCGATTATAAAGTACTGGGATGCATGTGCAATATTGTAGAAATAAATGGAAAAACTTGCAAAAAACGACATGTCATTGTTTGAATTGAAAATAAATGAAAACTATCACCTGCCAAAAATTTCAATTTACTCATGAACCTAGACAATATTAGAATATGTATAATAAATTTGTGATTATGATTAAGAAAAATGAAATGTCTACATTATTATTGCCGAAAAGCAGCTGAGATGTGCCAGAAATTAAAATAATATAAAATACAGTACATGTATGGCAGATCGAATTATACACATATGAACAAATATGACAAATTAATTCACCTAACATATGAAATTAAGTATTAATCAGGGCCGGTCCTACCTTTAATACGATGCATGCGAAAAATACGAGCGCACGCCTTAGGGGGCGCCTACATAAGATTCGGATAATAAATTTTCAATATAGTTTTATTTTTAAATATTTTTCTTTGCATCTTTTACTAATCTTTCCACAATATTTAGTTTAAGATGCAATTTTGGATATCTTAAATAATAAAAAATTCAATTAATTTATTTCAACATGAAGTACCACTGTTATGTTATGGCTATGGTTATGTTATACCGTTTAAAAGACTTCAATTTCCAATATAGTGTGAGAATTGAGACTCATCATTTTATTAAAAGCAGTTCTACATTCAACATCGCTCATACTATAAATTTATATGAATTTTGGCGCGAAGAGTAATTTGAAAAACAATTATTATTTTTAGGTAAAGGGTAAATATTAGTATATTATATTAAAAAATTGTAGTCATGGGTACAGGACAACGTCGGTCGGGTCATCTAGTAAGATATATATTTACTTTTAAATGTCAAAGATTTTCATCAAAAAGTTCAAACACCAATGCATACTGCATTCACCTGTTGCTCTCTATTTGATTCACACTGATACTCAAAACTTAATTATAACATCATAAAAATTTAAATAAATTTTAACTAGTAAAAAAAATATCGTTAACATGTAAAGTGCTATTCATGTAATATACAAATATTTTTTATTAACTCACTTGGAAAAGCTCCAGCCAAACTGAAGACCACCGCAAGCACAAACACAAAACACTGAAAGCTCTTCATAGTAATATAAATAATTATTGTATTACGAATTACGAAAAGCTATTGCACAACTTTCACACAGTATTGTTTATAGAAATGATTCAAATGAACTTTTGTGATTGACAGTTTGTGAGCACATGTGAGGCTAATATGTAAATTAAAAGCGGACTGTATGATCGTTCGACTCGTACTGATGGGACGCGTGCGTCGGCTTCCGCCTTATATACCGCGACGGACGAACGAATCCATCGAGAATTTTATAAACGCTATAATATAATATATCCATACCGATACATGAAACTGACCGATACATGAAAGTTTATATTTTATATTTACATATGTAAATGGATATTGTAAGGGTTGAGAATTTTTAAATCCGTTCGATTTGAAAATATGGTACAACCGTTTCAACTATACTCGATTTGTTTATGCTTGACCATGCTCGAACTTTATGTAAAAAATTGAAAATTTTGTCATATCTTGGATATTTTGACATACAATAATACCCCGTTTAACGCGGGGTACACGTTCGTTCAATGTAGAGCGTAATGCAAAACAGCGTTAAACGAGGCTATCTTTACATGAAAATATTGGAATGAAAATACTGTCGTTCTTATACAACATTCAGTAATTTTGATGGTTTATTAAATGAAGGAAAAAGGTCGAAAGGTCACCTATCGGTGATCCGATTCGATGTTGGATATGTTTAGCTTATAGACGTAGTCTTGTTGTAAAAATATTTAATTAAGCCTACGAGTAATTGTACATATTATAGGATTGCTAAAGAATATCAAAAAGGGGCCGTTTTATTCTGGGCCGTTTAATGTCATTGTTTTTTTATTAAGTTTTTGGCCATGATGTTAGGGTGGGTCTGTATTCTATCCTTGTATCTCAGACTGAACTTTCTTCCTTAACAGTGTTAATGTTCAAATCTGTATGAACCAACCAATTTGGGACATACTTGGGTGCGTTTATAATTTCTTTCAAAATCTTGTTTTGAAATCTTTGTATTATGGCGATGTTGGATTTGCGTGCCGTTCCCCAAAGCTGTATTCCGTACGTCCAAATCTGAATCACTGCTGTTCACATTTTTGTTTTCCTCTCGTTCAGTTAATTCATTGAACTCATCAGAAACTCATTAGAAAGTGATTTGTTGAATTAATAATTGAATTATTTCTTCAAAATCTTCCTCACTTACCCCTTCAAAACCTGGGTTGAAATAAAAGAACGCTAAACCAAAACAGCGTTAAGCAAGGTATTATTGTATCTTTGAAAAAAATTGATGTATGAGTGTGTATAACGATTGCAAAATTTTTCGATTCTTATTATGGGAGAGACATGCTTATTAGTATTTCGAAAAACATTATTTTTCTTACACTTATTGATGGAATAAAGAATCCATTACATTTTTACGAAGGCAGGTTTAGCGATTTCGGAAATGCAGAAAGAAAGTGAAGAAAACAGCTATTTGGTGGTCAAAAATGATCATTACACACCATTATTGAGCATTCATATTTGAATAGAATTATTGGTAGACAGGTAGAAGGATAGGCAAGTAGAAGGGTAGACATGTAGGCTGGTATATAAGTTGATAGGTGAATAGGTCAACAGGTGGACAGGTAGAGAAATGATCAAGTATACAGATCAAATGTAGACAGGTACAGAAATAGATAGGTAGACATGTAGGCTGATGAAGAGGTGAACAGGTGGACAGGTAGAGAGTTGGTCGAAAGGGAAAAAGTAGACAGGTGAATAGACATATGGATAGAGATAAGTAGAAAAATATTTAGGTATACTGGTTGATCATATACAAATCAAATTACTATTGATTATTGACACATATTGACCAATATGTGTAGTATTGAATAGTTTATGCAACCTCATTAAAAAATGCAACTAATATTATATTTTTCTTTTATTTAGCATTTTTCAGTTAGCGATAATATTTCTTTAAAAACTAAAAGGCATTTTGTAAATTTTGAGAATATGTTTGATTTTATTGTCACAAAAAAGTTTGAGCCTGTTTAAAAAAAAAGATTTTCTTGATGCAGAGCAGATTTTATTGTATAGCCTTTTCCACAGCTTAATTTTTATTTGTTTTTTTTTCAAAAGCTCATGGTTAGATCAGAATACATCAAAATATTGTGTTAGAAAAAAACATTATTGATATTTTATGTCTTTAAATATATATTTTTTACTATAGGTATTAAATAAAATAATTTTCTATACTCTTTTCTATACTACTATGCATTTATTGTTATTAAAAACTATAAAAGTAAAACACATAAAAAATCCTAATAAAAGGATGATTTCGATACAGACTATTTGCTGACGGAAATGATAAAATATTAAAATATTTACAATGATTTCAGCAAATAATAGGAAAAGGAAATTGAATATTTTATCTATTATTTTTTATTGTCCGAACAAAAACACCATCTATCGCCTTCTGTATATGCAAATATTATTGGTAAAATAAAAAACCCTACAAATACATTTATGTTTTGATTTTCGTATAGATTTCAATATTCTCTACTTTATAATTTATATATTTATTAGACTATTTGGAAGACTAATACTTAGTTGTTAAATACCAATACAATTTTATGGAAAATATCAAATTTGCATGTCGTTTTCCAAATATAGTCATCCTTTTTGAATTCCACATTTTTTATGACTAAGAAATTAATTTCCCAATTATTATATATGATATTAAGTATCTAATAACATAATTGCGGTATGAATGATTAAAAATCAGTTATCAATTTAATTTGTTGAATGTTATATATTGATATCATTCAACTTAATTTTGTTTAATAATATTAATATGGACGGAAATTATCAGTCTTTGATGTATTATCAGCAATATTATTAGAGTTGAATGATATCAATATATAACATTCAACAAATTAAATTCATACCTAAATTTTCAATCATTCACACCGCAATGATGTTATTAGATATTTAATATCGTGGTATTAAGTATTGATACTTGAATATTTCTGTAAGATATTAAAATGGTGTATTGTGATCTACTACCACGTAACTCCATTTTTATTTCGTGGATCCAGATTTTTTTTCGCTGATATTGACCCTTTGATTGTTGTCCTGGCAAGTGGACCACTTGGTAATCACTGTAATCACTGAATGAAATAAAAAACAGTAAAACTTAACTGGACACTACAAAAAGTGTATGATTTATAATCGGTTTATTTCATGAAATTTATGTATCAATAGGGGGGGAAGTCCCGTAACGCCGGACGGCACCTAAAGCTGGACACTCTATTTAACACGTATTATTTAAGCGAGCATAAGTTTTTTTATTTGACAAGTGAATACAAGTGAAAGAGGCGTGGGGAATCAATGGAAGTAATTCTAGTGTATTTATGCATTTATATTTTAGTGGCATTTAAAAATAAAAGTAGTACTTGATTGTTATCCGTAAAATGGTAGAATATTATTAGATATTTTAAACAATTTTAGTAGGTACCACCAAATGAACGAAATTAATTGTCTGTAGGTACTTTAGCACCGGACAATAAGTCGTCCCTTAGCGCCGGAAGTAAACATATTGATGTTTCTTGTGAAAATTGACTTAATTTATTCCAATTATTTAATTTTGTTCTGTATGAGTGCTAACGGTCACTACACACCCCCATTTTTCGTATATTCTAGTCAAAGAATGAAAATCTTATGATAAATGCTCCAGCTGAGAGCATCGGTGTGGCCCAGCCAAATTGGTGGATAAATAGTGATTTTTTTTTTGCTATATCTAAGAATATTCGTCAAACACAAATGTGCAGACATTCCAGAGTGTGGAGATGGCTACATATGTGTTCAATGCTGGTTATTTTGAAATGTCCGGTACTAGGTGCCACTTTGTAAAATCATATTTTTTGTTACCAAAGTTTAATTGATAGTATTAATTATTGTTTAGCAAAGATTGCGTTTTTGTTAATTTAGTTTGATTTCTAACTTTGTTATCTAACATAATTCATGATTTAATAAATATTTCGTAAAATATTGTTTGATTTATTTATAAATAACCTTAGGTGTCCGGCACTTGGGGACTTCCTACATAATTTTTCCAAAAATTGAATGGGAATAGTTGTTGTAATGTACAACCCTTTTCGTTTAAGGCAAATGAGAATAAATTCAGCACTAATATGCAATGTTTGATGTTTATATTATATTGTATTATATTGTTAACTGCATAGTGATTTCGTTATCCGCAAATGCATTAAATGAGCCTCTTCGTTTTATTACTCTCATCGTGTTGAACATTGCATATTGCGGCGGATGGGCACGCATTCAGAACTTTATTGAATAATGACAATAATAGAATAATGTATTTGCGCATTTGATACATCTCATTTTCCTGTTGTTTTCCAATTTTTATTACATTCCGAATAACAATCAGGTCGAACAAAATCGAGAGCCCTAGACCTACAAATTAAATTATTGCTCAACGTTGAATTTCCATCGAACACAGTAATAGTTCGATGTTCGTTCCATTTTCCTCTAAAAACAATAGAGGGAACAAAACTTAACATAGTATTCAAAACTGTGAATATAAAAGAATTAATATTAATTAATTTTTTATATACTTCAATATGATAGTTTACATTCAGAACAGATTATGCAAATTGGGAAAAAATTGCAATAGATTTTTTAAGTAAAACTTACGGAAAAGCGTTACGCCAGAACTGTACGTCATTCGCTTTCGATGAAATCATTTCTATACGAGTCGATTGTGATTAGTCGTCGTGTATGTAAATAGAGATCTGTCGTTGTATGCGTACAAAGAAATATGCATAGATAAATAAACATTTTAAAGTTACATCGTAGTACAAATCTTGATTTAATAAAAAATGCCTGAGTCAGAAGAATATTTCTGTTCCTTGAAAATATTAATTAATAAGATTAATGATTAGTAAGTTATTGATTAGAAATTATTTCTATATTATTCGTAGTTTCTATAAATCTTTGAAGGTATTAAAATGGAAAATAATTTTAGGCAAGATGTTACAGCTGTTCAAAGAATGAGATTAAAATGCCAGCGACAGTCAATGAATGTATGTTAATTTTAATTACATGAAGTTCTTCAAACACAATTATTACATGAT